AGCCAAACTCATCAAACTATGATAAACGTTTTTCAGGATAACTGCGGTTTCATTTGAGTGCTCGTCAAGATTAACTTTGGGAAGATATTGAAGTTGTGCTTAAACTTTCTTTTGTTACTTTTTAAAAATTCGCCATTATAAATTTGTCTTAAAAAGAGATGTATATATATGTTTTGACTGCCACATCTCAAGAATATCAGTATTGTAAATTCTTGGGGTGTGACAAAATATATCTTAAAATTTTAAAGAGAGAAATTGCCTAAAATTTTTTAGAGAGAAAAACTCTATCAAATTTTAAGTTTTAGAGAGAAAGTTTTGTAAAAATTAAGTGAGAGAAAGTATCGTAAAAATTTTAGAGAGAGAAACTACTTAAATTTTTTTAAAAAGAGAAATATTCCAAAAATTTTAAAGTGAAACTATCTCAAATTTCAAGTTTTAGAAAGTATATTAAAATTTTAGAGACAAAAACTATATCAAATTTTAGGGAGAGAGACTCTAAAAGATTTTAAGGAGAGAAACTATCTCAAAATTTTTAGAGAGAGACTATCTCAAATTCTAAATTTTAGAGAGAAATTATTTTAAAATTTTAGAGAGAGAAAATACCTAAATTTTTAAAGAGAATAACTATCTCGAAAATTTTAAAGAGAAAAATTATCTTAAATTTTGAGCTTTTAGAGAGATTAAACATCTTGAAATTTTAAAGAGAAACTATATCAAATTTTAAAGAGAAAATTACCTAAAATTTTTTAGAGAGAAACTATCTCAAGTTTTTGAGAGAAATTATATTAAAATTTAGAGAGAAAAACAAGCTGAAACTTTTAGAGAGAGAACTATCTCAAAAATTTTAGAGAGAGATTATATCAAATTTCAAGTTTTAGAGGGAAAAAGTATCCTAAAATTTTAGAGAGTGAAACTATATCAAATTTTGGGGCAACTTCTTAGTGAGAAACTATATCAAATTTCAATGAGATAAATTACTTAAAATTATTTAGAGAGAGAAACTATTTCAAAGGTTTTAAAGCATCATCACCATCATTTTAACCTTTTTCCAATTAATTGGAATCCCCTACATGAATCCTGGTTTTCCATTTCGCTTTATTAAATACCATATCCTTGAGACCATAAGTTATCATATATTTATGACTACTTCCAATCACGTCCTTTTAAGGCTACCTCTTGTTTTTTTCAATCTTTCCAATTGAACTAATTCGTACCTCCTAACAAGTGATATACTTGATCAATGCCATACATAACCAGCCCACCTAATTCTACTCTATCATTTCATCGCCTATTAATACCACACTTAAATTCTCTTGAGTAGATTCATTACGAATTCTATCCCTTCTTGCCTTGCCACTCATCCATCTCAACATCCTCATTTCCGCTACACTCATTCTATAGATATATTGTTTTTTATCTGCCAAACATTCCACCCAATAGTGGTCTTACACTTTTCCTATAGAATTTGCCCTGCAGCCTCATTGATATGAGGCAATCACATAAAATTTCAATTGCACAACTCTACTTTGTCCATCCAGCTCTAAATTTATGTGCGTCATCTTTTTCGATCTTTCCATTTTCTTGAATATTTTCTAGTACAATATGTCACTTCCAAAGAAAGTCCTAACATAAGCCGATGCTCACAATTCATGGTAGGTTTTGGCAAAATTTCTATATTTAAAATTTTTTAAAAATAGAAACTCTTTTTTTTTCCTTTTTTTTAAGAAGTAACTATCTCAAAAATTTTGGAGAGAGAAACTGTCAATAATCTAAAATTTCAAATTTTTAGAGAGAGAAATTGTCTCAAAATATTTGGAGAGAAACCATATCAAATTTTAATTGTTTATAGAGAAACTATCTCAAATTTTAATCTTTTTTAGCGAGAATTTTAACATAACCCAGGTTTGACATTACAATAGGTTTGTTAACCCATGGAGCCAAACGAGCCCCGGTGGGAAACCACCACGAGGCATTTATGTCCATCCAAATTGCTAAACAAGTATAATCTTTCTCATGTGTTTCTTCCTTGCAAAATATAGCGCATTTTGGTTTGGACCAGCATGCACAAAAAAACACCGGAAAGAGTACAGAAGGCAAATATGTAACAGAAACGTTGATAGACATCTTTCCATACCTGACATTCAGACATTTGAACACAACGCTTGTCAAAGTAAATGCCCTTCTGCGTCAATAACACGTAATTTAAGATCCGATCACAATATGAATTGCAGATTAACCTGGTGAGTATTTAATCAAGTTCCAATCCTTGCCTTTGCAGTTCTTCATCCGCATTCTTTAAAAACTGATCCCAGGCACTTCCTGGAGCAGCATCAATGTAGTCATAAGGAACACCACTCATTGCTCTCAAGCCTGGCTGCACTGCACCCTCACTTACAACAACTCTAAAATCAACATGATAACCTCTCTCCCTTAGTCTCAACATCTTACTCCCTGCACTTATCCTAACATTTTTCGAACAACCCTCGATACTTACTCTCTCAAATGTTTCACTTGTTCCTTCTTCATCCGCATCCAAGGCATCATTTGTTTTCACAAGTTCATCAAAATTCTTCTCCAATTCCTCCCAAGAGAACAAGAGTGGCAAAGTAAATGCCCCCCAAGGATTAAAATCTATGAGCTTAGCCCGCCGATCCTTGGTCACATAAACATCAAATGTGTAGTTTTCTAGTTCAAATTTTTCCACCACGTGCTCCTCAAAAAATTCAAAAACTAGGGATTCGAGATTGGGTTGCTCCTCGAACACGGAGGGGTAAAACCCTGTGATCTCTCTCTGAGAGATGCCAACCAGGAGACCCCCACGAACAAAGCACCGGAACTCCATCTCGGGCCTAAGCCCGCCATACCACTTACGAAGCGCCAGGTAAAATTGTGGTGGCCTTGAACAGGACTTGTCCTCGCATGAATCAAAAGCATGGCAGAGATCATGAACCAGACTGTCAGAAGACCTCAAGAGCAAGGCGATCTCACTGAAACAAGTGCAACGCAGTGTGCCATTAGGACTTATCCAAGCAGTGTCTTTTGGGGCACTCCAGTTGAGCTTAGGAAACACAGAACGACCGAGTATTTCAATTGACTGGTTCACCGTCAGCTCCAATTCAGGGAAACTTGGGGTGTCTTCTTCATCTTCATTTTCTTCTTTTTCTTCTTCCCATGGATGATAATCTTCACCCTGCAACTCTGGGCATGTGGGTTTCAGTCTATGTGGTAGAGCATCTTGATTCGAGATGGTTTTTGGGAGAACAAAAGGACCTGAATCATCCATAAGGTACTCAACAAAGGGCTCCGGAAGCTTATGGAAGAGGGTTTTGATGGAAACAGCTTTGAACTTCGGATACCAATCCTGGATTTGGCATTTCCAGAGCTCTTCTTCCTTCATTTTAAGCAAGAGACCTCTGCAAAATGCTGAGAATTCAAAACATAGAAAAAAAACACTTTCTGAAAATAGACGTGAAAAATAGAATTTTCATAAGATACTTCAAATTCAGGTAACCATCATTTATTTTTCGTAATAGGTAATATAGTCAGAAATCAAAATTTCACGAGACGGGTTCACAAAATTTAATTCCAAATGATCTTTCCTAGAAGCAAGATCAGTTTCAGTGATAAAAACTCGATTTTAAGTGAGTAATGCATGTTTTACGTAGCAATCATATTTCATCATATTAGCAAACTAAATTTCATAATGATCAATCAAGCCTTGAATTCCTCAACTAATCTAGAAAAGAGCCAAAAACCTGTTGAATTATATCGTCATCATCATTATCATCCGAGCCTTTTCCCAACTATTTGGGGTAGGTACATGAATCTTGTTTCACCATTTTGCTCCATCAAGGGTCATACCCTTAATATAATTATAAGCTACAAAATCTCTTCTTACTACTTCCATCCATGTAACCGACCCCAAATAATTGGGATAAGGCTTGGATGATAATGACTACTTCCATCCATGTCCTTTTGGGCCTTCCCCTTGCCTTTTTAGAGCCTTCCACTTGAACCAAATTACCCCCCTAACTAGTGCTGCAATAGGTCTACGTTATACAAGGCCAGCCCACCTAAAGTCTACTTTCGCTCATCTTAGAGTCATCTCTAAGTTCCCTTGAACCGATTGAATTATATCTTCAATAAAATTAAAAAGCCACTTTCATAGTTAGGTGACAGTAATTTTGCACCATTACATCTTAAACCCTAGCTAACCCACCCAAGGTATCAAACCTCCAATGCGTAATATGACACCATCCATATAATAACGTTTCACAATCATTGCTAATAAATTATGAACACCGAACTTGGGTTATCTGGTCATTCGATAAAATATTAGCCATTGGGTTTCAGTGTTCAAAGATTCAAGATTCATTATCCATCAATGCTGAACATTGCTCATGTCATCCATTGTTTCAGCTGTTGAATTTTCCACATTATACACAAAAGTATGCTGCCTCTCTCAGGCACTGGGTGAAAAGCTTCCAACATAACTGTGATCACTTCATTTACCAAACAAAAGTGAAAATCAATATACGATTAATTAAAAGGCGCTTGAACAGATAATTTGCAAAATCATACATGCTTCCTTTTATGTTTCATTTTGCAAGAAATAGAAAAGAAATCACCACAGTTTAAGAAAATAAATCACATTTAATTTTTCAGGAACTAGCAGCATTATTACAGGATTCAATCAGAAGAGAGAATTGAAATATCAACATTGGCTACAGTAAAAAACAGGATAATTGATATAGCAACATTGTTTACTGTGAGAGACAATTTATGAACATCGAACAACAGAAGAAAGTTTGCATGGTTACCATGTACATTAAGCCCAGTAAGGAACAGAGAATTGGGAATTCAATTAACAAATTAAAAAAAAAAAAAAAAAAAATTAAAAATTAGCAAAAATATACACGGTGGCATACCTAACGAGATAGAACTTTTAGGTAGCTTAGCCTTCCTAAATTTCTATAATAACAACTTGAGTGGACCTTTACCTTCCTCACTATTCAAAGTCCGGCATAATAAATTACATAAAAGCTAACAAGAAAAAATCACTATCAGAGGACCCATCCAATTATCCCTAAATCAAGGTATCCCTAACAAAGTAATAATATCAACTTCAAAGTTCATTCAAACATTAAAAAAAATTAAAAACAAAAAAAAACAGAAAGCCCTCCTTGGATAAATGACTATGAATTTTAAGATAAAGTGACCAAAAATAAAGAGCATAGAAAAAACTCACAAAAAACGGAATGAAGAACCTAATAAAGAACATTTTCAAGTGGAAATAACTATGAAAAAACACTCCCATATTGGAATGATATTGAATGATCACAAATCAATTGATTCAAGATTATTTAGAAGATATATTGCAAAACCCAAAAAAAAAAAAGCGAATGTTTTATATTTTTTCCAATAATAAATCAAGCAATAAAAAATCGGTTGAATACACTTACTTGAACTTCAAACGAAAGCGGATTGACGGTCGGATTTGCCAAGAAAAATTGCCGGAGAAAAGCCTAAGGATTATGGAGCATTGGTAGGGCCCCAAATGAGAGAGCTCTTCCCCTCTCTCCCTCTCTCTAAGCACTGTTTGATAACAAGTTTTGTAAATTGAATTTGTAAATTGGAAGTTCCTCATGAACTGTAAATAAATTAGAAGTTACTTAAGAATGTTTGATAACCCTTGGGAATAATATGTTGAAAGACTAAGAAGTTATGGGTATTTGTATTGGATTAGCTGTAGAAGTAATAGGTAGGCAAGATGTAAAATGTAAAAATTAATACCTAGATATTATTTATTTTTTATTAATTTTTTTGAATTTTATTTTTTGGGATAAAATATCAAGAAATTGAATCTATTTTAGTCAAAATTAAATAAAAATGCGCATCCAAACCACGCTGTACAAGAAGTATCAAGTTTGTAAGAAAACAGAGATAATCCATTTTCAATATAAGTCACAGCCTAGCGAATTCTTCCATGAATCAATAACTGCTTACCTCAATATAAGACTGAGTCAATAACTGCTCCCATGAACCAAATATAAAACTGAACCAAATCGATTTTTGGCAAACCAATAAACAAAAAGAAAAGAATGTGACATGGTATTTCAATATAAGCATGCAAACCGTGCTGTAAGAGCTTTATCTACAAATTTAAGAGTGGGAAATCAGAAGGGTTGATGTTTCATTTGAGAAAATCTTTTAAGAAAATGAGAAAACAATGTGAAACAAGCAAATTCTCAAAATTTAACCATGCAATGCCAAATAATGGAAAAATTTATCATGGGGCAAAAGGATATCCAATTCAGTTCTCAAACAAAGATTGCAGGAGCAATCCAATTTAGGGTAAAAGTAGACCTAGTGAGAAGAAAGAAAAAAGAAAAGAAAAATAAAAGATTCACCTCAGAGATAGTTGATGGGTGAAGAGAGAGAAACGGAATTTTGGTGGTGGGGCTGCCAATTCTGTGGCATCGGAGAAGAGAGAGAAGAAGATGCATCCCCCGCAACAATACTCTTCTTTTCTTCTTCTTCACCAACACCACCACAACATTAGACCCAACCAACTTACCCCCAAAAAATGAGACATACAATGCCCTAACGATCAATCAGCCTTTATTTTAAATCAATTCAGAAGAATTACAGAACCGAGTTACAAGCGATCCCTTGAATTGAAAACGGTGAATGCATAATCCACGTTTTTGGGCATCCACTTTTTCTATAGGAAAGGGTAAAAGCCCTTAGAGAGAGAGAGGTGGGGCGTTACACAGAGAAATGGGGCAGATGAGATCGAGGTTCAGACCTTTTTCGCCGCAGCTGCTGAATAAACTGGTGACAAATAAACAAGATGAGCTAACCCTAGGGAGCAGAGAGGGGTCTGGCTGAACGGCGTGGTGCGAAGAGAGAGGTGGCTCAGCGGATGGCGACGACCAAACGGAAGAAGAAGGACCTAGGGCACAACTTTTATCCGGGTTGAAGTTTTATAAAATCTTCCCAATTTTATTCTGTTCGGAACTTTTTTAACACAGAGGGGAAGATGAACGGTTTAGTGAAGTTCCCTTCTTAACTTCCGTTTTTTTTATAAAACACAACATGAACAGTATTAGTAAGTTTCGAGTTTATGGAAGACAATTCCTTTTATCAAACACGCCTAAATATTCGCTTTCTGAAACCTATATTGACAAAAAGTCCCCTAACCGACTAAAAAAAAAGATTAAACGAAGAATGTAGTTTTATATAAGGCCGAAGCCCTAAACGATCAAAGTAAGCGCACTTTCAAATAGTATCGAAAGGATGTTATGTCCTAAAATTTTATTTTCTTCTTTAATTATAAAATTTGTATAAAGTTGTAACTTTATAATGTAGAACTACGGATGCACCTCAAAAATCTATCGGAAAAGGTTGTTTTAATGTTGAAAAACCTTGCGATTGATCATCTCAATATCGAGATGTGTGACTATGAAAATTAAAAAGATTTTCAGTCTCAAAAATAGCGCATCTCAACACATTATCTACACCATCCATTTTCAAGATTTTCATATGTTTATAGATTGACTTGATTTTAACTATTTTTTATATTTAAAATTTGTAATCCGATACAAAAATAAATTTTGAGATAATCTCAAGAATATTTTACATCAAAATTATAGATTATGATAAAATTTGAAGGTGCATCGTAGTGGAATTGTTTACGGTTGCAACCGTATGGAAACCACACCCCTATAAAATTTAAAGCTTCAAAAATAGTGAAAGTCTAGCATATTTATGAAAACTTGAAACTTTTGAAAATTATTGATCTAGAAAATGTATTACAAGATGTGCTATTTCCAAGATTTAAAATTTATTTTTTCTAATGTCCATACATCTTCAGGTCGAGATGATCGATTTGAAGATCTTTTAGCATCGAACTAACCTCATCTAGTGGATTTTTGAGGTGTGACTTAATTTGATTGTTTAGGGCCATCCTTATATGAACTTTTTCCTTAAATGAAATATTATAAAAAATGAGTATTTTAGATAAGAAAAAAGTTTACATAGAGCCGAGGCTCTAAACAATCAAATTAGAGCCCACCTCCAAAATTTTATTAGAAGAGGTTGTTTTGATGCCCAAATATCATCAAATCGATCATTTCGACATCAAGATGCATGGACATGAGAAAAGAATGGATTTCAAATTTTAGAAATAGTGCATCTTGTAACACATTTTTAATCGTCAATTTTCAAGATTTTCATGCTTTCATAGATATGCTTGATCTACTTTATTTCTAAATCTTTAAATTTTATAATTAAAGATGAAAATATATTTTAAAGCTATTACAAAGATTTCCAGTATTGAAACCACATGTCTCAACATTATTAGAGCTTCGGCTTTATACAACCGCACCCTCTAGGTAAAAGTATAGGGTATTACAAGTAAACATTGGACCGGGCAGTTCGGAACGGTCCACCTCCATGGCCGATTTAATGGACCATCATTCCGATGTGCCAAATTGGACTGGTCTAGCAACCAATACATTGGTTTCAGCTTCAAACTGACCAGTCTGGTCCGGTTTGAACCAACATTGCTTTATACCGCTGAAGTAAAATGCATATAAAAAATCCTCTACAAAAAAAGTGTTCCAATCCTCCCATTGATCATCTCGACCTCGATGTCTATGAATATAAAGAAAAATAAGAATTTCAAACCCTAAAATTAGTGGTTTATAAATACGGTTCTTCCGTATTTTTATTATGTAGTATGGTGGCATACAGCCTAGCAAATTTGGACATACCTAGAATAAAATACGACATTTGGATATTTTTTTGCGACTAGGGGTACCATACTTCCATTTTGTATTTTCACCACAATTTAGTTTTGTTTAGTAGAGTTAGTTACCTATAAAGAAGAAAATTATTCATAGATGATATAAAGTGGATGTATGCCTATTGTTTAATACCTTTAAACTTAGTGTTGGGTATGGAACTCAAGGATTTCTTTGGGTAATATCTCCAATTTATATGTGAAATTTTCAAGCTTAGCTATGCATGCATGTGTGGATGCATGTATGTGTGTATACACACGTGTGTGCATGTGTTCCATCCCATTTAATAGGTATGGACTGTATTTCATAATTTTAGGTTTTCCTTATGTTTAGTAGATATACGATCAAACATTTGAAAATTTTATTCTTTTTTAATTTTTCACTTTAAAAATTTTTTGTTTGCATGTTCAATACCAGTTCTACTACTTTTTACTTACATTGTGCAGTATTTGAGGACTGGCTATATATGATTTGGGTTGTCTTCATGTTTAGTTGATTTTCACATCAGTGTTTTGCTTGAGTAACACTGGAAGGATGCCATCTAAGTACCCGGTTCTCGGCAATCCGCCACTCGATTGCTTATGGGCTGGCTAGAGGGGGCGTTTTTTTACCCTCTCTTATTATTTTTGATAATGTGATTGACTTTTTGTAGTTTTAATAAAAATAGTACATTTGTTAGAAAAAAAATAAAAATAAAAAATTAAATTAAATTAATTGACAGAATTGAAAGATGAACTTCAAAGACATAATATGATAACTAAGGGTTTAAAGGAGGATTTACTGAAGCGGATGTCCGAAGCAATTCTAAATGATGAGAACTGTGTTCAGGAAAATGTGGGCAATCGCTTGGATACTTAAGTTATTCCTCAGCCTCAGCAGAATGATGAGGAGCTGACAGATCTGGGAAATGCACCAGTATATCAACCAGGTGAAAATGAAGCTAAAAAGAACACTACTGAATCCATCATAGATGATACTGAAACTAAGGATAAGGATACCACACTGGTTGACAATGATAACAGCAATGCCATTCCCAATCAATGGGTTGAAGCTCAAGATTGTGAATTGACTGATTCTTTGAAAATTGAGACCTCTGAATTTATGGTTACATTTCCAACGCGTTCTACAGAAGTCAGCATTTCGGTGAGTCATAGCCCTGTTAAACAGATGGAATCCGTTGAGAAACAGTCTAGTCATGAAAGTCTGAAAGAAGAAGAGGCATCAAAGAGTCCCAACAAAAGCGAGGTGCCCAACCTTGTAAACCGGATAGCGTCCATTGACAAACAGTGTAAGCATGAACCTGTGATAGAAGGTGAGGCATCGAGGTGTCCTATCAAAAGCGAGGAGCCCAACCTTTGCAACCCAAATTCTCAGGTATCTGAAAAGGGTCCCAACAAAAGCGAGGAGCCCAACCTTGTAAACCAGATAGAGTCCATTGACAAACAGTGTAAGCATGAACCTGTGATAGAAGATGAGGCATCCCGGAGTCCTATCAAAAGCGAGGAGCCCAACCTTTTCAACCCAAGTTCTCAGGTATTTGAAAAGGTCTGCTAAAGTGTGAATTCTGTTTCTAGCGATTCTGTGTCAATTAATGAAAATGAAAAGAATGAACTAATGAATAATTTGAATGCTGATAATTTACATTTAGAATTAGAAGCTAGTTATCCAGAGGGGGCCTACCAATCATCCACTGAAGTACCTCCAGTTGGTGGTTCTTTGAATGGTCAAGAGCCAGGTGTGTATCAGAGCTGTACAGAGATTGATGAGACCCTTGCTGCTAGTAACCATGCAGACCTTATCAAGAAAGTTGATAGTGCAGATGTTGGTTCTTCTGAAAAACTGAATTTAGATAGAAGTTCAGGGGATGAATCACTGGAGGATGATGGATTAGAGAGTAAACAAAGTAATGTTATTCAAAATACTGTTGAAGTCACAGACAAGGATGAAGTATCAAAATTGTGTCCAATGAAAGAGGACATTGCTGCTGTGGCTGATTCCTCTCCAAATGAGAAGAATGTTATTGTAGAGAGAAGCAATGACTCAGTGAATATTGGGGAGAAAAGAAAAATTGAAGGTGGTATGTACTATTGCATGGTCTTGTTTACATGCATAATTAGTTTTTCTTTCTGTGATTTAGATCTATTTATTGCTTGTATTATTTGAATAATTTAGCTTGAATTGTGTAATAAGTCACCATGATGTTGGAGTAATGCTCTTAGGTTTCTAGGTCTAGTAAACAGTTGTGGTCCAAGGCTTCCAAAATTTTGCAAAAGCACATTTACAATCTTGCTTTTTCTCAGTAACATGAAAAGTTGCTTATGAATTATATAAAAAAGTATGTATAGTTTTCCTCTTTGGAATAATCTAATGTTCTCAACTCTCATATACATTTCTACAATAGTGAGAAGTTTTTCTTTCATAAATTTGGGTACATGGCATGTAAGTGATAATTAGTGTATTTCCCAATAATAGTAATTTGTATGTAGTGGGTGTAGTGTTACTATCCTGCACGTTGTGGTTTTTCACCAAATAGATCTTTGAAATTGCCTTCATGCTATCCTGCACCTTGGGGTTTTTCACCAAGGAGATCTTTGAAATTGCCTTCATGTGCATGATGCAAGGTTATTGAGGCAATAAAATTTTGTACAAGTTTTTATGCAAACCCTTGATAAATATTTGGAAACTGAAAAGTTTTACACAACTTTCGCATGTTAACCAATAAAGCTAAAAGCTACATAGTTACATATACTGTCATTTAGATGTCTTTCCATTGGTACTTTGTTCCTTTTCTCGTCAGTGTAAATTTCTTAATGGCCTGTTCTCCAAGTTTACTCTAGTTGCAAGTTGCAACAGACCATACGTCGTGCCGCTTCATAATATTTCTGGGTATAAGGCGTTCAACTTATACTGAGAGAAAGAAAAACTTCCCTCTTTGAAAGCCAAGTGCTTATTGGAAGTGTCTAACTTTCCCTTTTATTATATTACCCTTATTGTACCATTAAAAGGCTGAAAGAGGTAGTTCATTGTGAAATATGACTTTTAACAGTTCCATGATTTGGAGTTTTTCCTTTCTTGTTTTCAAGAAAATTTGGTATTCTTGTTTTCAAGAAAATTTGGTAGTTTTATTTTCTGAGAGTATTAAAATAATTGCTACTTTACATGTTTTATTATTGATTTTTCCCCTTTTATTATGTGCAGATCAGGAGGCACCCAGGGTCAATGACCCTTCAAAGAGGCAGTGTCAGTGGAGCTCGGAGCCACTCAGGGTATCCTAATCTCAAAATTCTCTTCGTTCTGCTCCTCCCCTTAGTAATTCTTTTTCTGTGCCTAGAGATAGATTTTCATCCTTACCTAAGACCACACTCAGTAATCCCGACTCTCCCGATAATGGAGGTGCCTCTAAAGAGCGCATTGGTAAGCTTCATTTTGCTCTTCTTCCTCTTCTTCTTCTGGTTGTGCAAGTTGGGCTTGCAATAGTTCTTTTCCCCTCGCTTTTTTAAAGGGGGTAAATTGGTTTTTAGACTTGACTTCACCATGCTTTTGATTTGTTTGAATGGGTGGTATGGTAGTAGTTTCAAGAATTACTGTATTATACATGGAATCATGCAACATACAAGTCATGCGAAATGCAAATTTCTTTTAAGGAAATAGACCTTACAGATAACCATTTGGGTATGCATGCCATGAATACAATAGAAGCCCAGGAAGATTTACAAACTTCTTTTGAACTTTCTGTGGGACAAGTTTCTTTTAATTGTCGGTTGTTAAATGAGTAACTAGTTTGGGTTCTTCTCTTTTTTTAAAAAAAAAACAGGAAGAAAAAGAAAAGAAAACTAAAGTGGGTTCTTAAAATTTTGTTATACAGTTCCTCCATCGGAAAAGCCCGAAACTACTTCTTTGAGGATTGACCAATTCCTGCGTCCATTCACTCTAAAAGCTGTTCAAGAGCTTCTGGCAAAAACTGGGACTGTCTCTAAATTCTGGATGGACCACATCAAGACCCACTGTTATGTCACTGTATGTCTTTTTATACATAAATTCTCTCTCTCTCTCTCTCTATCTCTCTCTCTCTCC